CCGGCTGTGTCGCACAACGATTCCACTGATACTGATCTTTCTGATGATAGTTCGGATTCTGAAGAGTCGGTTGTGTCTGCCTCGGATGCTGAGGAACCCGCCCCGCACTCTGCGCCTAAGCCTCGCCCCTTGCCCCTAGATGGGTTTCTACATAATCCGCGCAGCAATATTCTGCACCGTCCGATTGCATGTGACGCTCATGCTGCCAAATCGGTCTTCGTGCAGCTCTCCGGTCTGGAGCCGTTTTGGGTGAAGCCGGCGTGTGGCGCTTCCGTGGGGCAACTCGCACCTCCGATGCCTGGTGCCCTGCCGCGCCAGCTGGTGCGCACATGTGCCTTAGAAGAGCCTGCCGCCCCGCGTGAGATTGCGCTTGTGTGTGGCAAAATAACCACGCGTCTCTCCGCATGTATGCTTTGCATCTGGCGCCTGCTCTTTCTTCTGCTTGGTCTTTCTCCGCAGCCATTTTTTGCTCGGCCTCGCTCCCCTCACTGCGCCCGTTGCGGATCATCATGGCTGATCGTGAGTCGCATCCCTCGTCGTCGGTTGCGGGCTCCGTGCGAGGATCCAATGGTTATCCTGGATTCCCGCCCCGCCCGGCTGCCGACGCGTCCGGCGCACTGATGCTTCCGGCCGCTCCGGACCTCCGGGATTTGGAAGTGATCCTCCGCCGGTGTTCTGCTGCATTTCTGGCCCGCCTCGCACGACTTTGCATCCGCATCGTCCGTGCCGAACCGGAGGTGATCTACTGCCAGCTACCCTGCAGCAATCCCGAGTGCAATCAGGTTTGTGGTCGCCGCGTCGATCCGACCCGCCGGCGGGGGCATGCCAGCCACGCGTGCCGCGTCTGCCACCGATTTGGTTGGTGAGCATGGCCCGCCTCCGACCTCGCCCTCCGTGCCGGCCTGGTCCGTACCTATGAGAATTGCATGTTCTATGCGTGGTTTCGGCTCCGAGCTAAAAGGATCCGCCCGCGCGTGCATTATTGCTTGCGTGTGCTCGGCCTTGTTTGCTCCGATTCTTCTGCCGCAGCCATTTATTGCTCCAGGCCCACCCGGTAGACTGTCATTTGGATTTTGGACTTCTGCAGGAATGTCTTCTTCTCTGCCGGCGTTCGATGACCCGTTGGCCTTGTCCGCCCTTCTTACGAAGTGGGCCGCTCCGGAGACTTTGCATCCTCTATTGGTCTCAAAGGGCTTCCGCACCCACTGCCTCCATTGCATATGCTATCCCTGGCGACGGCAGCCCCGACGATTTTTTGCGTGTCCTCTGGCCGCCTGCCGACCCGGATAATCCCCCTACCTTGGTGACACCGGAGGCGTCTTTTGCTCGTCGGCTTCTCGTCCAGTCCCGTGCCTTGGTGCATCCGCCGGCCTCGTCTGCTGGCCCTGCTGCTGCACCCCCTCCACTTACGCCTCCGCCCAAGATCACACAGGAGACTGCGGAAACACTGCGGCGCAAGTTCATAGACTCTTATTCGGGGGAACTTCTATCACCTGCCTCCACCTTTTCGGTTGAGTTTTTGAACCGTCTCCGGGCCGAACTGGACAAGCCTACTACCCTTTGGGTGCCGTGGCATCTTCGCACTTCCGAGCATGACCTGCAGCTGTTTTATTACAACCGGCGGCCCCGTTCCGATGGTCAGCTTCTCCGGCATCTGCTTGATGGTGTCCCCGAACCGGTTACTGCGCAGGCCCCTGCACACACGTCCGGTCCTGTGGAACCGGCCCTGCGGCGACACCTCGGGCTCCTCATCACGGCTCTCGCGTCTTTGGGGGATCTCCACCTCAAGCTCGGCAAAGCGTACGCCGAGAGCTTCATTTCCACAGCCACGGCCACCCCTTTGGATGCGTCGCTCCGCCCTCCGTCAATGCAGGAAGTTCTCGCCGCGGATAAGGCTGTTTGGGCTGCCATCGCTGGCCTGATGAGGGACTAGAAATTTTCCTTGCCCGACGCCTTGCAGGAGATCACTGTCACCCGGCGCATGATCCCTACCGTTCTGTGCCCCCGGCCCAGGTCGATGCCTGCCCCGCCGGTCCGCGACCCCAGCACCAAGAGTGGGGCCGGTGCTGCGAGCGACCGTGCCGACAACCCTGACCGCCCCCCTAAGAAAATTCGCAAGGAAACTCCTGACCCCTAAGGGTAAGGCTAATCCTAAGGCACCCGCCGCGGTGGCCGCCGGCCCGTATCTGAGCTCTGGGATGAGTCGTGGCACACCGTCGATGCTAATGGAAAAGAGATATGCAAGCGGTTCGTACTTGGCCGTTGTAAGCTGTCCTTTTGCCGGTTTTCCCATTCTTGCCCCATTCCGTTGCCGAACGGAAAACCTTGTGGGCAACAGCACACCGCTTCGAAGCACAAGTCCACGGCCCACTGAGACTCCCCCAGTTCGGATACGCTCTCTGCTCCCGTCCCTCCCCGTTTGGCTGGCACCGCTGCTGCGCGTCTGGTTGATGAAGCCTCGGTTGTGGACTCATCAGAATCCGATGGTTCCGTTGTTGAGGTTGAGACCGCTGCGCCCCAGCCGCTGTGCTGCAACCCGCGTCCTCAACGCTCCCGTTCCATGGAGCCTCCCAAGCTGGCCCGCCTGCGCTCCCTCCTCCGATCTTCCTTGGATTTGGACTCCTTGCCGCTGACTCAGCTCCGCAAGCTGACTGGCAAACTGTTGTGGGTCTGCTCTTTGTTCCGAGCTTTCCGGCCTTCGCTGGCCCCTCTTTACAAGGATCAAAGCCTTCCACCCCTCGTTCACGTGGCACTCGGTCCGGATAAATGGTCTGTGTTCCGGTCAAGTCTATCCGCTGACTTGTTGCTCTTGCGTGAGATCGGCGTTGCTAGCTGTCCCAAAGGGTGCACTTTGATATCCGTTGCTCAGAAAGAGGTCTCTGGCCTGGCCTTCCGCAGGTTCCCCAACAGTTTCCGGGTGAGCGCCGTGTCTGGATTTCAGTTCGCATGCCTGCTGACTCGGCCCGTAAACTCTCACCGGAATCCAAAGAAGCTCTTCCTTCGTCTCTGGGAGTCCTGCCTCTTGGGTGATATCCCTCTGTTTCCGCTTGCACTGGATCCTTTCTTTGCCTGCGAAGCTTTTGCAGATGCCTGTGCCGACTCGCGTCATGTGGGGCTTGGTGGCTTTGTCCGCCTGCCCGACTCTCGTACCGTGTGGTTCCGCGCTTCCTTTTCCGTTGCTGAGCTTCGAGACATGTTCCCGTGGCTTCCACCTCAAACTTCCCCTCAAAAGTTTATTGCTGCCTGGGAGCTCTTTGGCCAGATTGCCCTGCTTTGGTGCGTGGCCCTTTTGATTCCGGCCGCCCACCATCCGATCCACTTTACCAGTCGCTGTGACAACAGCCCCTCTGACTCGGCCGCTTGGAAAGGTATCTCGATGGCACGCGGCATGTGCTCCTTTCTCCTCTCCTATTTTTTGTGGCAGCGTCATTTTTGCGTGTCAACTTTCATTGAGCATGTCCCGGGCTTCTGCAATGTCACTGCTGATGGACTTAGCCGCAGCAAGGATCCGTCCACTTTTGGCCTTCGTCCCAACGACGAGGTTTTTATTCCCTGGCGGCTGATCTCCGTCCCCCCGCGCGGTACTTACTCTCCTGAGTCCGAATTCTCGGCCTCTAAATTCCCGGCGTTTCAAGATTCTTCGGCACGGCCCTAATGCAGTCGGATCGGCTCTGGATTCTGGACTTTGGCTTCGGTTTCCCCGGTGCGGGTATCCATCGCTCCGTGCTTCTGGCTGTGGTTTTCTGGCCGTACACACTCCGCAAAGTCCAAACCGATGTCCGGCCGAACCGGAATCCGTTCTGGCCCGCCGGACATCCGCATATATCTCCGTAGCAGGCTCCCCGAAGGATGGCCAGGTATCCGGCCCGACTTCGATGGATCTTGCTTCAACTTGAGCCATCCGTCAAAAAGGGGGCGCGTCCGCTTAGCGTGCTTATAGCCTCGCCGATCGTAACGGACTAGTGTTAGCGGATAAACGGTTTCTCGACGGGTCGTAATGTGTTTTTCCGCTAACTCGCAACGGCAAGTCGTACTGCCCGCAGCCGTTACGACTTAAGTGCTCCGGTCTGCGATCGGTGTACTAGCTTTGAATTCCCGCCCCCGTCCCCATTTCTCCTCCGACTTGGGAGATTGGAATTCTTGGCTTTCTTCCAGAAATCCTGGACTTTGGACTTTGGCCTTTGCTTACCGTTGTACATGCAGCCCGTAGGCCGTACACACTCCGCAAAGTCCAAACCGATGTCCGGCCGAACCGGAATCCGTTCTGGCCCGCCGGACATCCGCATATATCTCCGTAGCAGGCTCCCCGAAGGATGGCCAGGTATCCGGCCCGACTTCGATGGATCTTGCTTCAACTTGAGCCATCCGTCAAAAAGGGGGCGCGTCCGCTTAGCGTGCTTATAGCCTCGCCGATCGTAACGGACTAGTGTTAGCGGATAAACGTATATATATATATATATATATAGTGAGTGCTAAAAATATATGTATATATGTCGCTGCAGTTGACCTCCAGAGCTTTCAGTGGGCCTGTCGGCTTTGTCTGTATCACAGATGTCCAAAACAAGCCAAATCTTCCAAAAGACGCTGGCAGAAGCTCATGTGTGTATATACATATTATAGATGTATATATATATATATATGTACACACGCAGAATAATCACACATGCATACAGGTAGGTAGGTAGGTAGGCAGGCAGGCAGGTAGGTAGGTCGGTCGGTAGGTAGGTAGGTAGGTAGGTGGGTACGTAGTCAGGTAGATATGTACAGAAGTTCGCACTCCATCGTCGAGTCTGGCACCCTGCTTCAGCCTTGAGCGGTTCAGGCTTTCCAAAGCAACCAAAGCCCCTACAGAGAAAAAACTGGAGAAGAGCCAGCTCGGAAACTTTACTTCAGGGTTGAGATTCTGTGAGTTGCCACAGCATGCCCACATACAGCGCATCCCATGGTGTGACTGTCCCAACTCCAGAGCCACCGACACGCCCACGCCGACTTGCTTTCAGGTAGAGCTGAAGCTGGTCCAGCGTCCTCAGGGTCGTCCGGTGGTTTGGTACGGGACGGGGCCCGGGCCGCAGAGTGAAATGCGGCTGATCATAGTCGCGCAAGGCAAGCATGCGGGTTGCGGATTGCAGATCCTAGCCTGAGCTTCAGTAGAGAGCGACGGCACAGCCCGGTCAGGCCCGGAGGCAATGGGAACCTGATGCTCGAGACGAGCCTGGGTGCCTTGTCTTCGACAGTGCGAGATAGGACTCTGCAGACAAGTGCAGCTATTCGCCCCCCCTGTATGGAAAGGTAGGGCTGGTGCCATGCCCTCACACTTCGTGAATCTCGAGGGCACGGCCCTTGGTTGCGATTTGCGGTGCAGGGATGCTCGCGATGCTAAGTGTGTATAGCAGGGAAGACGTTGGTGGCTGGGCTTCCAGCTGGACCCCATCTCGTGAAGTCCTGCTTTGCGCGAGTGTGAAGCCGACCCAGACAGTTTCGGCCTGGGTTCTTACGCGGCTTCCTTCGAGAGCTGTTGGAGAGATGCCGAAGTAGGGCTTGAGCTGCTCTTTTGCTCTCGTCCCTTTGGCTTCAGGTCTTGAAAAAGTAGCTCTATGAAGCAACAAGGGAGCCCCAGCGCTGTGTTTTGAGATCTTGTTCTTCTACTTGAATTCCACGACGACTGGAGCATACAGTGTATGAGTATGTAGCAGCAGAAAACGCGCAATTGGTTCAACAGCTGTACAGCAGCTGTTTGCGAGCAGATGCCTGGAGCACTGCTTGTCTGGCAAGCGGGATGAGCTGTGTTTCCCACAAGCACAGCTCCCAGCGGGCTTCAGGCACTGCCGGGCGCGCTTATGTTGGAATCCTCGCCCGAACACTTTTTCAGGACCCTTACATGCAATGTAGCACGCCACCATAAACACGAGCTTGGGGCCGAGCTTCGGACCAAAAGCCGAAGGCCAACTGTTGGCCGACATCCATATGTTGTGAGCCAAAGCAGGCCTGTCGCGGCTGAGCACGCGCAGCGGCACTGGCAGCCGGGGCAGCGGCAACCGGGCACATGAGTCCGGAAGATAGGCTCTCCTACTGATTCTGCTCTCACCCCTGGCGCGTGCAACATTCAATTCCGAGTCGAAGCCAGGCTTGCGGCTGCAGAGAGTTTCGCAGTAACTGTATCTGATCGCATTTGTAGACCAGCTGTCGGACGAGTCGTTGCCACGTGCGGGAGAATCAGTCTGTTCAGCCCAAGCGGGGAGAGTTCCGTCCGAGTGGTGGATCCGGGACACTGCACACCATGGAATTTCAGACGGCGGATTCTTCAAGGGTGCCCCGTTCCTGCAATTTTCCCGCAAGCTTTTGTACAGGTTTCACTCGCGAGCAAGGGTGGGTCGCCATTAATTCTGGAAAGGCAAGATAAAGCAGATAAAGTCAGTGCAGTTGAAGCCAGAAATAGCGGGAAAGGTGGGAAGCTTTCCGTTTGTATATAAGTTCGCAAGAAGCCATCGAAGGCACGCTGCAAGCAAGTCGCGCTTCGCCTCCCAGCGATGGCCAGAAGCTGCGTCAAGGCGATGTTTGAAAGCAAATGTTCTGAATGCAGAATACATAAGGGAGTCCGTTCACTTTCAGCAGACTTAAGGAATCATTTGGCATGGTGAAGTGCGGTAACTTGATACGGCTTGCTGTAGCAGGTTACGATACTTCTGCATTCGTCCGGTGTTTGCTCGCATCTGAGGAGCAGCGAAGAATGGGATTCATCGGAAGTAGGTTTTGGGAGGATGTTGCGTGGTCCGAAGGGTTCCGCTCTGCAAGCGATGAGTTTGGAAGGCTCGTGCATTTTCTCCTGCAGGGCGACATGCAGTGCCGGAGCTTCATATCCCGACCCGAGCTTGTAAACTTGACCAAGAATAGCTTGGCAGAGTGTAGACAAATTTCGCTTCGGGCGGTGCCGTTCAACTCGTCTCAGAAACCCGCACTTTTGCGCGAAGCTCAATCCAGAGGGCGCCGACAGCGAGCAAATCACTACTGGACTGCTGACTGAATTCCCCGACGTATACCTGTCGATTCCTCAGTGTGAGATAGTTCAGCAGCCGAGAGGTCAAACCGGAGGCCTTCCACCACTGGCACCCGGACCTCTTCCCGGCTTAGCGCCGCGGCTCACGGCCGAGGCAGGGCAGAGGCAGCACCGGAAGTTGCAGAGTGCCTTGTCATACAGTCTGCTACGGGAGGTTCTCAGCAAGCTAGACCGAGAGAGCCGGAGAAGCGGCACGGCGAGTGCCCGGCTCGTGGCCGCCATGGGGAGCCCGAGGCTCAGGAAGGGAAAACCGACAGTGGATGACAGCCGACTCGAACTCAGAAGATCACGTCTGTCGAGGCGCTCCTTCTCAGCAGCAACAGCACCTACAGAAGCAATCGCAGCAGCCGCCGGCCCCACCGCTGCGGCAGCCACAGCAGCGCGGAGTTTCTCTGCCGCCGCTGCCGCGTACGCAGCGGCTGATGGCTGTCGCTTGCTTGCTGCCGTAGATGGCCCTGATGTGCTTCAAGTGTGAGTTCTGCTTCAGACATTTCGGGCTTCATGGTCTCGGTTCGGTTTCTTGAAGGTCGCAGGATGTACCTTTCAGGCCTGTATGTCCTAGTAGATGAGCAACCTGCGCAGCAACTCGGGGAGCGTGCTTAGTCTCATGCCGTGAGGCTTAGATCTCTAGATCGACTTAAAGCCTGCGTCTTGAGTGTACATGTGAGATCACATGGCCACTCAAGTGCATGTGCCTGGCATGCCAGGCTCTGCAGAGCTGAGAATTGCAGGGCTTCAGAAGGTTTGTGCTTGTCAGGCTTCTGCAGATCAAGCAGATTCCACGCCTTCGAACGCGCCCTCGAAGAAGCAAGGGCGATCTTCGAGTACCTGGGCTCTGGTACACAGCGATTGGGGATCCTTGTGCTTGTGTCTTGGACGACTGTTTCTCAACCACGTGCCTTAAAGCGGAGGCATTGCGCAGGCTCCACGGTGTGAGTCGAGTAGTCGAGTCGAGTTGCATGTCTGCGGATCGCGTCGAAGGTGCGCAGCCCTTGCAGCCCTTGTCCCGCCGGCGGCCTCGACGGAACGGCCCTGTGCAGAGCTTGGACTGGCAGTCGAAGGAGGCAAGGAGGGTCTGATGGGTGGCCCACTTGCGCTCTGGGATGCTCTGGGTGTGGGAGGCCTGGCGGGCGACGGACGGTGTCCTCATGCGCGCCTACGCGGCCCGAGTGGAGAAGGATGCTCCGACGATACCGTGCCCGCACTGCGGCCGGAAGCCGCTCGCAAAGTGATAGCACCTACAGTATAGGTCAGTCCGCAGTTGGTCTGTGGCTTTGTAATGTGTCGCACCAACATCCCGACGGTGTGAGAGTGGCCCTGAGGTTCCGAGAGGAGGCTTTGGACACACATGCGCGCGTCTGCGTCAACGTGTTCGGCAAGCAGCGGAAGGCGACGACAGACTGGGCGCTGGATGGGCATTCCCTGAGTACATGGCTATGCGCGATCCCATGCTTCCCACGTGTTCCCACCACCTCAACCATGTCAGATCTTGTTGTCACACCACGCCGTTTCCCAATGTACTGCAATGAAAGCATTCGAAACAATGGCATCATGTCCCATGCTGTCTAAGATATCTACACACAGCAACCTGATGACCTGTTCTGCCCCAACGTGTGTCCGTTTCTCTCGCCCTTGTTTGTTCAGTCTCAGTTGTGTGTTCCGCTTCTCTTTGCTTTCTCTGGCCCTCAGGCCTTCGATGCCCAACGCCAACGCATGCCTCCCGGAGCTCTTCGCCGGAGAGCCCGCATCAGAGAGGCCATGAGCACAGCCGAGGACACGTGCAAGAGGCTGAAGGCTGCAGGATGGCGGAGCCTCAGCTGAGCTCGCTGCCATCGCGACCTTTCCATAGTTCTCCGCAAAGCGGCATCCGCAGCTTGAGGTGGGTGACCACCAACCTGCCCCCCACCTCCTCTCTGCAGGAGGGGGGGGGGACGTACCACCACCCCCCCCTTCCTTCCACTCACTCCCCACCCACACGATCACACATTCAAGCTACGGGGGACGTATCTTTCGTGAATCTTCGACATTTCCAAGTTGCCTAGGCTGTGCTGTGTGAGCGGCTTTATTTATGAGTCAGTCCGTCTTTCTGTCGTGTGCGGAGTCGCAAAATCAGTTTGCACAACAACGAGTTTTCTGTTTGCTGCGTGACTGGTCAGAGCTGGCAGGTGAAACTCGTGAGCAACTGGCGGCAGCAGAGCCGTGCACTGCGACTCGCCATGCGTGCTGCGCGGCGCAGCTGTCACCTGGCTTCAAGCCTCAAGGGACGTTTACAATGCTGTCGGATACCCGAGGCGATTTGCATGATGGTGTATTTCAGTCTATTGCCCGGTTATACTTGTTTTTCGTGTATTCCGATATACTTGCTAAGTACATGGTGAAGTACGCAGCCATGAGCAAACCGGATGGACGGATGACTAGAAGTGTGAATCAGAACACCTCACTTTACCAGCCTCTCCAAACAGATAGAAGAATAGACACTAGGCAAGCATAGAGAAGAACACATAAACCCACCCATGAATGAGTCAATGTAGGCATGTAATCTCACGTACATACACATGTACAGGCGCACACAGCCGTGCATAAATGTACATGCACACACACGTATGTCCACACAGACACACACACACACAGACACCCTCTGTCATGATCCGAGAACCATGCTTGTAGGTAGACTTTCTGTCGCTTCCGTCATGAAGTGTTTCTTGCGAAAACTGTTCTCATGGCTGGCTCAGACCACGCCCGGGATCGATTCCTCGGCCCTACTTCGGGCGAGGCCGCGGCCCCTCGGCAGCCGACAACAACAGCGTTCAGGGTTTAAATTTAGGGTTTGGCTTTCGATGCCAAGATAATGATAGTCGTTAACGTCATGGTGCTGTTTGCCGAACAAGAGTGGCAGGATCCTAGTCGTTGTCTTGCAAAGAGCGCGGGTAGTCAAGAGCAGACGCAGCCTTGAGTAGGCCACCATGGGTTTAAAGTTTATAGGGTTTCAGGGGCTCGGGAAGGCTTCCCTAGACCCTAAACCTAAGCCCCGTAGCTTCGAATAGTATGGCAGTGGTCCTCCTTCCTAGAGCCGAGGGTTTGGATGGCCGTGTCCCTTGCCCACACTGCGGCCGGAAATTCGGGGAAAACCAGGCAGCCCGGCACATCCCAGTTTGCCACTTGGCCTCGACATGAACCCTGGCTTGCTTGGTCGCTACCGTACCACAGTATGTGGGCTCATTATTGTTGTTATTCTGCTTTGCTGCCCGAACCTGCGGTGCTTGTGGCGGCTTGCGATGCCCAAAACCCTAAGCCGCTAGAGTCGCAACCCCAAGCTCGTAAGCTCGAGATGAACCTGGAATGAGGTGCCAGACTCCTCGCCTGGTAGTTCGAGTTGTGATTGCTGACACCCTCACCCTCAACCTTTATACACAAACCCGACTAGTATGGTTTTTTGGCGCTCTTTCCCTCATGAGATGCACCTTCGGTTAAGCTAACAAAATTTGCATGTCCGAAAGACCGAAAGTGAGTGCGGAACGCAAACCTTCAGAAAAAAAAGCCTTGAAACCGCAGCAGCCCTGTGTCTGCTGAGGCCGAGCCCAGGCTGGTTGCCGCATGTTGCCGGGAGCATGCTTTTGATTGCCTGTTACAGTGTATAGTAGTCTGTTACACTCTGTTACTATGACGGTCCGGTCAGCATTGCATCAGTTTCATACAGCAACCTGCATGTGGTCACCGAGGCAATCTTTCGAATCTCGGTAAAAAAAAACCTGGCCGAAGGGATCCGAGGGGTCCGCGGAATCGCTGTCGCTATCCAACCGTGGCAAGCGTATGCGGGGATGCGGGCGTGTTTATGAATGGATAGACAGACGGATAGGTCGATCGCTAGATGGACATAGGGAAAGGAACCAACAAGGTCGGGACGGAGAGAGAGGAGAATGGCGTTGAGGTGGTTGATCCAGAGGCTTAGATGACAATACCCAAGACATGCAGAGGTTCTTGGTATCAGTGTTTGGTCACATGTAAGGTCGCAATACATTCGCAAGGGTTTTATCCACGTGCCTGGGGTGCCGCGGAGTTCCTTCAGTATACTTGCCAGTAACACAAATCGTAGATTCTCGTGCTTCTCGGCTCGTCCGCTGCAGTCATTCAATCCGCTGCACATCCCTCGACCAGGTGCCCGCCCAGGCAGCATCTCCGGGGAAGCTCGCGGGTGAGTCTCGGCCCGCAGGCGCCTGGGTTCCGCGTTTCTGCCGGAGTTTGGTTTGGTTGGGCTTGGATGAGCTTGTAATTGTTCAGAGTTGGAAATCTTGGAAGATGACCTCATAGCACTCTTGCCTGCTGGCGTCGGGTTCTGCGCTCGAGTTAGGGGGCATGTGGCTCGAAGCTGTTGGTTTTTCAGGATTTCCCTACGCGTTGCAGGCTGGAGTCCATGCTCATGCCTTGTGACAAGGTACGCCGGCACGGGGGCCGCCCCCCAGCGCCGTCAGAGACACCCGGCCTTGGTGATTTCAGGCTGGTCTTGGCCATCGCAAAGGTGACTAGAGCATCTGGTGCCCTTCCGTTCAGGTCTAGACTTGACCAGCATCTTCTAAACGATGCTGGCTGGGAAGGGACTGTGGTAGTGTCTTCATCCAAAAGGATGCGACCGTTGCGAAGTTGCAGCAGGAACAGGCTCTGTTAGGATTGAATTCGCAGCGCAGACGGCTGGATCTTCTGCTCCGATCGCTGAAGATGTGGCAATGTAAGTGCGAGTGCTAAAAGACTTTAACTTATGCTGAGATTTGACCACGGCTCAGGGGTAGATGCACGCCTCTGCATCGCCAAGTCTCACTTAGTACTGCAGGTGTCGTGGGTTTTCAGGACGTAGCAAGCAGAGATACTTTGTGACTCAGTATGTGGGTGCTGTGACAATGATATGGATGCTTGCATGCAATCAAAGGAAGTGTTTGCAGAGCACATTCTCAATGCTGCGAGCAATGATGCCGTGCTTTAGTTTGCAGTTGACTTGATGCGCGACTTTGGCTTCCCGGAGGTGCTTTGCAGCGAACATATTGCATTTTTACAAGGCTGCACACGTGACAACCAGGAACCAGCTTGTCACAATGCAGATGTAAGTCCGAGGTGCATCGTGGGTCCTGTAAATGTGCGCGTAAGAGCTTTCAATGGCCGTCAGGCATCTGGCGGCTTTTGGCAAGACAAGACCTTGTAGCTTCGGAGCATTCGGGTGGCAAAGTTTAAATCAGGGCTTCCATGCATGCAGAAAACTACTTGTAGTCATTGCAGGAAAGGTTGCCCAGCCAGAAGCGGCAAGACGTGAACTACTGCTACAACTCAGTTCTGTCTCACAGACGACATTTTCGTGCACTCATGTTGCGCGAGTCGCAAAATTGAGCAGGATTCTCCCCTCCGCTTGAGACGGATCTCTGGCCAGCAGGTAAGTTGATTGACGCCAGGGCTGGCTTGAAGATCCTGTTGCCGGTGCCGCCTTGTCTTCCATTCCCTGAGAATGTTCCCACATGTCGGCTCCCAACAATCCCCGGTTCAGATTCGCTGATCCGAGGCTTCCCCTGGCGCCTCGAAGTCGAAGAGCTAAGCCCAGAAGAGGCACAGCAAGGCACCCTCAGACTCTCTCTCTCTCTCTCTATGTCTCTGCTGCTTCACGAGCCCGCACATTATGTAGCCAGGGCTCGCGAGGCATGAGCACATGTAGGGAATAGCTGAGCCCGTGTGTGCTGTGCCTCGGCCTCCTACAGCTTTCAGTTTGAGCTTGGGTGGTCGCAGCCGTTGAGCCTATGGCCGGAAAGACTGAGCAAGCATAGCATTGGATACCTGGAAGGATTTCCCGCAGTTTTCCCACCGGTACCAACATCGTGCCACAACCGAAGCACGAAACAGGTCCCACAGCCACATACACCATCGAGAGCAGATCACCAAGCCTATGCGTCATGCAAGCAGGAAGAAATCACAACGACACACCCCTGACGGAACGTCACGAGTTTGCTTTCGACCTTTTGCTGATGTCATCCGCATCGAGTTCCTCGTTCGAGGACTCGGATGCAGAAGCCAGTTCTGACGATGGTCAGACTGCAGCCGTTGCGGACGGCAAGGACGACAGCCAGCAAGAAGAGCGGAGCGAGAAGGAGAAGGCAGAGGAAGAGGACGGCGTGTGGGGCCACCTGGACAGTGTGATTCCAAGCCACGAAAGGCAGAGGCTCGAACGTGAGGCGGTTTTGAGAAAGAAAGAGGAGGAGAAGGAGAGAGAAGCTGAAGCCGCTGTCTACGTGGGGAAGCCAGGCATGCGGCCCAGCTGGGATGGGGGAGGTTGGGGCGGTCCAAAAGACGGCTACGACATGGACACGAGATACATGTTGAGGGGTGAGGCACGGGAGCTCCCTGACCATATCTACCAGAAATGGAAATTCCAGAAGAACGACGAGCACTTGAGAATCCAAGTTATGACGAAGGACAAAAAGAAGAAGGGAAAGAAGAAAAAGGGCAAGGGTACGGACGTTCCCCGTAAGAAGAAGGACAAGAAGGACAAAAAAAAGAAGAAAAACAAGAAAGAGAAAGCCAAAAAGGACAAGAAGGCCGGAAAGAAGAAGCGAAAAGACACCGAGTCCTAACCTGAAGCACTTTCGGCATGGGACTGTGACAAGGTTTGTCCTGCAAGGGCAGGTCCTTCGAAGTCTCACGTGTTGGCTGACCACAGCCAAATTGCATGCACATGCTTGTAGGCGCCAGGCAGTCGACTATGTCAGCAGGACTTCGCTTGTTACGGCAAAGCGTGAAAGCCACAGAGGAACGATGAATCTCATCGGGTCTCACCGGTGGCACTGAGTCTTGCTCGGATTGTAACTCTGGATCGCGGCGCGCGCGGCATTGCGAAGAGCTCGAAAAGTTACGGAGGTCTGGAGGAATGAGGTTCCCGGAGCTCCAGGTTATAGCTTCGGATCGGGACATTGAGCATGATGAGCCCTGCCTTTGCAAGTAGAGTTGGTGAGTTGCCAGGCTGCTTTGCTGCTGATCTCGTGCGTATGCATTGGGTGTAGTAAGAGAGAAACTGTACGTCAACTGGACGTGGAGTGGGTTCAGGCTTGCCATGGCAGCCCATGTCATCCTGAGACCTAACCGCTCCTGGCGCAGGTGTGAACGTGGATCGGAATGGCCCGGCCGGCGCATGTTTTCTTCGGATTAAAGGTCATCTCGGCTGCAGCAGTCTTTTGCATGTAGACCTGCTCAGTTCCTCTGCCGTGTAATTAGTCTGACCAACGCGGTCTCACAATAAGTCTGGAATGCACCTCGGAGCACCCTGCTGTTGACAATATCCTTATACTAGTTGGCAAAGCCCTCCCCTTCAGGAGGTGCAAGATGAGGCATAATTACAGTCTGAGACATCCAACAATGGATATTGCACCGCATGTGATGGCCTCCAGCGCCTGCCTTCGGCCGCAATGCACTGGCGCACTGTGCCTCGCGCTTGGAGGCTGTTGGAAGGGAGAGCCGGGGAACATCTGGGAACCTGACCAGAACTCTGCGTTTCCTCGTTCCTCTCCGCTTGTGCATTGAGTCGAAGAGTTGCACTATATGTGGCACTTTGCCTGGAAAGGCTGCTGCTCCTTGTGGTCACAGTGAGCAGGCTATGCTGGCATCAGGCACCTTGTGCGTCCTCCGGTTTTGCAGCCGCGACGGAACTGCTAGCCTGACTTGAATGAATGTCGCCAGTGTGGAGCGTTGAAAACCCTAAGCCTAAGCCTGATCTTTGATGAAAGATGTGTGCCCTGGAGCATCTGAAGCAGTTTGGACATCCTAGTGTCACATCTGGGTCAGGGCACGACGCCCTGCTTGGTGCTTGGGAGAGTCCACCCGCTGCGCAACGCAGGCAGAAGGGGTGTGGGATGAGGCTCCATTTGAGGTGACTGGGAGCTGAACACTGCAGCACTGCATTTGCATATGCGGCTGGCTGATACTCGTCCACCTTACTCAGTCTCATCATGCGATACTCTCTATATACGCAGCAACAGAACGAAGCAGGGCTGTTTCATCTTGGGGTTGCTTGGCGGCTGATGTACTCGTAGCAACGGCCGCTGTGCTACCCCAAACCAGCCGGAGGCACAAAGCATCAGGTGAGCCGGGATGCCGGAAAAGGGCCTCGGCCTGAGTTGGTGAGATACAGACGAGTTGTTGGTGTAAAAGCCTCGGAGGACCCACAATATGTCTTGCACTTTTTGCGAGGCATGGCGTGCTCCGCCAGCTGCTTCAGCTTCAGGAAGATTTTCTGTCACTGCCACGGACGAAGGACGCATTATGCCAGCCACGAGATTGAGCTGTAGCGGGGGTTGCTTGCAAGATCAGGACACAGCGAAGTATTGCAATAACACTTCTTTGAAACGATCCATCGTGTCACGAAGCACAGGCTTCAAGGCAATTCCCGCAATCTCCAGGAGTTTGTTCTCGATCGTGGCTGGCCTGACTCCAGTTCCGTCGATGTGGATGAGTTCTTGCGAAAGCAGCAGGACTCGAACAAAATGATTGGTGTAAATGTGGGATCGGGATCCATAGTTGCCATAGTTGAAGCTTACCTGTGGACTCGCCGAACACACTCACCCCTCCCTCGAGTTTAGCAGGAATGGACCCTCGACGGCCGTCTTCCAGCCGTCTTCGACGTGAGATCTCCTGGGGACGCCGGGCTTGGCCTTTTGACGGGGAAAGCGCTCATGCGCCTCTCCTCTTGACAAATTCGGTCCGGCCAAAGAAAAGCATTACAAGAACGGGTTCCTCAGCCAAGGAGTTTGCCGCGGGGCACATCCCTGGTGCCACGAACTTGCCGCTGACTCTTGTTCGCACTGCATGCCGCGCGGTCAAGGGTGGGTTTGCCATCAGAGCGGGGAGCGATGCTCACGGATCCTTGCTCCTAGGCTGGATGATGACGAGAGGCTACTGGGGTCCTGGCTGCCCACTGGGGACCGTGTGAAAGCATCATGTGCTCTGAGAATGCCACACTGCGCTTGCAGGGCTGCAGTCGGCACCATGTTCGCCAATCTAGGTGGGCCGAGCAGCTTTGCTGTGAAAGACGGCAGTCAGCAAGCGCAGCTTTTGTGTGCGATGCAGGGCCAGAGGAAGCCTTTGCCAACTGCTCAGCAACTTACGGACGGGTGTGCTCTGCCTGCGTCTGTCTTTGTCTTGTCCTTTAGCTTTGCTTGCGCCTGCAAGCGCTTTAGCCAGGAGCCAGGCATGAGAAGCGGAGCACATCAGATGTGCACACTGCATAGGGCCATGCAGATGCCATGATTCGGTTTTGATGCTTACGGCGACCTCAGGATTTAGCCCTCGACAGCGTGCATCCAAAGCTGGCCGACTTGTTACGTCAGGCCCGTTTCTCAGAAGACTGCTTCAGCATGCTCATGCTCGGGAATCTTGCGCAAGCCCAGAATGTCCGAGAGCTGGCGCTATCGCGGCATTTTACGTCAAGGCTGATGCGCACACCGCCGGCCTCGAAGAGGCCTTTCTCAGCCTGTTGACTCTGACGACGACTTACGCAGAGTTTCACGAACTCGAGCCGCTCAAGCCCACTCTTGTCAGGCGAGGCGGCACGTCCTCCTGTACTGTAAGCGAGGTGCAGAGCAAGGGTCGATCCGAATCAGCAGTAGCAGCATGGTTTTCGGATGTTGGGTACGGGCGTCGAGCAAAACCGCTTAGTCTTGCCGGAAAAAGCTGTAAACGACGCTTGTGTGATCGATCGCCCTTGCAATGCATCTGCTCCTGATAGTTGCTGGCGTCTGCACGAGAAACTCGCCGGCCCTTCTCAGGTGGACTACGTTCACAATCAATGGCCAAGCTACGCCCCGAGAAGAGTATGGGCGGTTTTCGAACAGCTGCTCTATGATCTGATTCGACATGTCGTGTGTGATTGTGGAAGACTCACGATCTCACTTACGTTTGCATCTTATCAGTTTACACAGTTTCCTTTCTCTTGACCAATAGCTTGAAAGGCTTCTGGCGAGACATGGCTTCGAAGTTCTGGTCCTTCGGGGTGGCTACAAGGTTGGAAGAATTTCGTTGTTCGAGCAAGCCCTACTGTAACCGCCCTAACCCTGAGATGTGTGCCTCCGAATCGCAACCAAAAAGACTGGAACGTCGACCAGGAGACGATTCAATGTCGACTCCATCCATTCTTGATCGACTTCGAATCAATGTTACGTCGATCTCCTATCGACTTGTGATCACCGTTGGAAATTGCCCCTCCACATTTCGTGTATTAGGCGTATTTACGCCTCAGCATCCTCAGCCCTAAGATGTGATTCGGTGGGATCTGGTTTGCACGTGGAGTACCATGTGACCATGGGAGCATGCATGTGACATCATGGCTTTGGGTACGCAGGCTTTTCGCGGTTGGGCTGAGCGTGTTCTCCGTGAGAAGCCCCAGAAGGCGCCTGCTGCATCAAAACCTTTGTGTCGCCCAGATTTCGGGATTGTAGTGCTTCCACGTCATCCCGTGTCTATGGCAAACACGGGCTCTCTTGGCTCTTAATCCGCGTTCGAGGCATTGTGTAGACCTCGACCAAGCCGGCTACTGGAAGCCATACCTGCGACAGCGGAAGTGCCTCATTCAGTCAGAACATGTTTATGTCAGCCTGAGTGATGGGCCAAACGCACGACTCTTAATTGATAGGATGAATTGAGGGACACCGCCGTGTCAGGTCTGTGTGATTGCTGGAGCACGCTGCCCCAGATATGCAAAGATACAAGTCTTCAGGATTTTCGGGGCTGTACCTCAAGGCTGGGGAGTTGATTGTCGAGCATAGGGGGGCTGGTTTCAACGTAACTTGAGCTGGTGTGACTTTGCTTGCTGCCTGTTGAGCGACGGTGTGAACATGGTACTGCTCAAAACTTGTGACGGTGTGACCTGCTCTGGAGCCCGGAGATAGCTCAGCTTCTGGACAGGCTGACGAGCCGCCGAACTCATGTTTACCCAGCCCTGGTTACAGCCCCCCATCAGGCCTTGGCCTCTCTACCCAGGGCCTAGGCGAACAAATCGCCATCTTGAAGTATCGAAAGCTCGGGGTTGCAGAGCGGGCGGCGTGTGTGTGTGTGTGTGTGTGCACGGGAAAAAAGCTGTGGAGAGACTCCAGTAGCAGCTCAGGCGACTGGCAGTGGCAAGACCGAGGTCTTGGCAGAGCTTGGCAGGTCACATGCATGTTGGCTACGGCCGGGATGTTCTATGATGTTCCATTTATGTGTCTTTCCCAAGGGAAGTGCAGTTTGATCGGGGTGCAATATGCATCAACTGTTCGCGGTCCGCTCGCCATGTGCGGAACGCTCACGACCTTGCTTCATGACGTCTCTGCAACTTCTGTTGATTTTGACCCCTTGCCTGCCAAGTAGCCTGCCGACTTTCTAGGTACGCAGGTATGAGTCTGCATGCAGAGTCAGAAGGTTTGACTGCAGTTGCACTTTGTTCTAGCCAGAGGAGGAAGCATAGGAAGCAACCCTTGGGGAAGTTTGCACAAGACCGCCAGCAGTTGCACAGCTCAGGCAGAAACTTGGACAGGTCATCGACCTCGAGGCGGTTTTTAAACGGCATCACAGGGCTCCAAGTTCCATGGTCGCGAGATGCTGCCCAGCACAATGTCACGGCACAGGTTTCTAGAGCTTATCTGTGGGGAGTGTGCCGGGTCCTGAAGAAGTGTAGCATCACAGCTTTCAGACTACACACGTGCAGCCCCTTTCGGCCCACGCTTTGGCAAGAAAAGCCAGCAAGCGCATCGAAGCGCTCTCGAGAAACCCATAGATTTGAACGACCTTACCTGGTGCCCTGCATGGCCTGAGAATGCCAAAAGAGGATGCCCAGGTCATCCACCTGTAGAGTTCAGAGTAGGTCCGGTCTCTGGGGTCTCGGAACTGTGCCGACTGCCATGGCCGCCAGAGCCGACTCGAACAAAAGCTCAGAAAAGAAGGCTGGAGTAAGTTTGCATTGCCGCAGATTTGGGCTAAGCTGGAAGGCTGAGGGCTTCAGATTCAGTCGAGGGATGTGTCAACGTGAAGTGGCACTGCTTCGTAATCCTGTTCGCTTGGGCTCGGACCTGTCCCGGCAGGTTACCATCTCAAAGAAAGCTCTGAACTGGGTGCTTCCTGAGGACCCTTGGGCTGGGAAACCAAGACGGCAGGGAGTGGGTGGCCTTAACCACAGTTTTTTTTTTGGGATTATCACTGGAAGGTGCAAGTTGTCACTGCAGCGGTAAAAATTCAACAATCGTGCCGACATGAATCTGTGCTGTTGACTCCAGCCTGTTGAAAAAAGCCTATGCGAAACGTCAGTACACTGGGGGTAGCCCTTGCAAAACCGAAGAATGCTGGAAGATTTAGTGCGAGAAGCTGTTTGGGCACATCCCAAGACCAGCAGATGATCCATTCCGACTGCCTGGACATCCTTTGCACCAAGAGCTGGCTGGCTTGCGAGAGTGTTGCGCAGAGAACACAGTGAGCTCCAACACTGCGACCAAAGTTAAGAGTTACCGCGATCACCAATATTAGCAGTATTAGCAGCCGGGCAACGCAATGTACCGCAACAAACACCCCCCTGCCAGAGAATAAGGATATGTCATGTCGAATCAGCGGCTTAAATTCCTCTATGTCGTGCGCAGGTAGAACCCCTAGTAGTTGCACGTGGGCTTCGTTTCGACTTTTTTCGCTGGTGAAACTGACAATGGTGAAGAAGGCAGGTCTGACAGTAGCATACTAGAAGCGTTGACGGAAGAAGTGTCGCGATATTGCGAGGACCATGAAGCCAGCGACCAAACTCTTGCGGAGAGGAGAAGCGCTGAACTTGCAGATCAAGTCGCGTCTGCCGTGGCTCTACCTTCAAGGATAAGTCGCACCGAATTCCGAGTTGTATTTACTAAACCAAACCGAGCCACCAGAACTCGGCCGGTATCGCCTCCTTCGTTGTCGACTCCAAGCCTTGGATCCGGCTCCAACTCTCGGATGTGCCGTGCTCCGTAGAAACCGAGCTGTCACGGGGCTTCAAGGCAGCTGTAGCCATGACGGAAAATCTAGCGATTGTGGGACATATCCGAGGTCTCTGGGCAAATCTTAGAGGTGCTCCAGGGGACGATGAGACGCCCGGCTTGAGATTATGCCCTGAACCCCAAACCTACCCAAAGCTGGGGTCGAAACAGACGGGTTGACAGCGACATGTGTAGTTCATTTCACTTGCCAATTTGCACTCCTGGACCCTTCTTACGGTGCATTCATATGTCACTGATGCATGCCGAGATCATTCATTGGGTCTGGGAACGTCTGGAACATGTTTCACCAGTCGCTGAGTCGTTGAATCTGAATGAGCTTGATGATGCTTTCCAGGCCCGGAGATGGCACCTTTCTACAGAAGCAGCTAATCTCGCCATTTGCGGAGCATGTGAACTCAGCCGCTTGAGATCGTTGCCGCATAGCGAAGCTCAGGAGAAGCAACAGCTTCCGCTTTGCAGCAGGTTTGCACGGTGACTTGGTCAAGCCAGGTGAGAGTGGGAGGCATCTAGATCACCAGATCACCTAAAGGTCTGGACCGGGGAGGCATCCCTTGCACTTGCACCGAGGCCACCGCGCGCGTCTGTCGCTTGCTAGACCGGCTGCTCGGATGGACTGGCAGTTGGCGTCTCGTTGTTGGCGAGGGCTTCGTCGTCTGCAGTTTGTCGTAGCAGTATCTTTTCGGGATGTTAAGTGCAACAGACCGTTTCAGACTTAGTTATTTCTCAAGCCCACGCTGACTGCTGGTTGTCAGCTTGGCGTTTGATGTCGGACCGGTGTGCAATACTCCGAGTCGCCCGCGGAGATTCACCTATCATCTGATGCCATCTGCACCTTGCATGGCCCTCTAAGAAGGCTCTTTTGTGGTGAAGTGGCCTCACCCAGGCTCGAGCATGTGATGCCTCCAAGAGACCAGCTGTTCCCATGGGCCACCTGCCAGGAATTCAGAGATGCCATCAGTCCGGTCGAAGGTTTCTTTCAGCTCTGGGCTGACACCCTGCATGATACCCAGTAGCAGGCTCTCTATACGGTCCATACGTGGTCTCCTGGGGGGCGGTTTGCCAATCCTTCAGCTGCAACCATTCTGGCGGCTAGCTACCTTTCGCCACGGGTTTCAATTTTTAACCTGCCGCTCGGAGACACGACGTAGATCAAGGCCGAAGGCAGCACGCGGAAGGGACTAAAGAAATGAAGTGACCCAGAACTTTTGCAGATGCTGCGACGCGGAGGGGCCCAGAGCGACCATTCAGGATGCTGTGAAGAGCTGCTCGCCGCGGTGCCTAAGGAGCCACTCCCGCAGAGAACCAACACAGCCCGTCCGAAGTCCAAGAAGGCATCCGTGCGAGGCTGAGGGACGTCCTGTTGTCTAGTGCAGATGCAGTGTTGTCGAATGTCCGGAGCGAGCATGAAGTTGGCTGTGCCTAGGTAACGATACACACCGTTCACGCGATCGATGGGACCGGTGTTGGAATACTTGCATTGGTGTTGTGCTGACGCGTTCTGGGCGGTGTAGTTGGAGTGCGGGTGATTCCCACTCGGGTTCTGGACTCGGTATTTCCATGTATTTGCTGTGTGTTTCGCTTTTCGGGTTGTTCAGATTTTCTGTGGTTGTTCCGAAGTTGGCAGTTTGTCAGTATTTGCGAGGTAATGTAGAGGCCTAGTAGCAAGGCCCCCCCCCCCCCCCCCCC